TATAAAATCAAGCACCTAGGCATACAGATTGTCTCTGCATATATTTGTGAAAGAATGGGTCGCTCTCAGGAGCTCAGTGAATTCAAGCATGCCACCTCTGCAACAAGTCCACCTGTGATATTTCCTTGCTACGAAATATTCCACAGTCAACTGTTAGTGGTAGTATAACAAAGTGGAAGCAACTGGGAACAACAGCAACTCAGCCACGAAGTGGTAGACCACATAAAATAACAAAGCAGGGTCCACACATGTGTAAGAGCTGTAGAAAATAGGCAGCCCCATAAAATTTAAATCCAAAGCCTAATACCTAATATAACAGTAATCTATCTTTGTCAATAGAAAATACTAGTGATTGCATTTTTATTGTATCACCACAAGATGGCAGAACTACATCCTTTTTTTAAGAGAAGGACACAGAAGGGGGGGACTGAAAGTCTAACACTTTGTTTCCGGCAGGACAGTGATTACAATGAACATCCGGTCTCATGCCATTAAGAGTCTTCTGTGTTTATTACAGGTAAACAGGAGGCTGTTTAACATGATAAATAGGACAAAATGACTTAACATATGCCCTGGTGGTTAGTAAATGCCGCTGCTACTATTATGCAATCAGACTACTCGTAGCATAAATGTGAATATATATTGCAGATATGCGATTTGGCGCTAAGATACAGGGAAGGTGATTTCTCTATTGTAATACACTGTTGTTATGCAGAATAGGTTAAAAGCATATCTGCAGCAGTCTAGATATTCAGTATTGTGATTAAAGATGTTTATTAATGCATATGGAAATGTTTAGTAATGTATAGAGGGCCATGATTACAATGAACATCCGGTCTCATGCCATTAAGAGTTTTCTGTGTTTATCACAGCTGTTCCTAATAAAGCACTTCTGGCTTCACCCAACTCATACTTCGCAGTGGAATTATTAACTGTATGTGCAGCACATGCTGAAGCGCATAGTGCTCTGTAGAGTCGATAGCTAAAGACTTCGTGTGGCCTTCAGATTAGCACAACAACAGTACATAGATAGCTTCATGGAATGGGTTTCCATGGCCGAGCAGCTGTATCCAAGCCTTACATCACCAAGTGCAATGCAGATGCAGATGCAGTGGTGGAAAGCACGCCACCACTGGACTCTAGAGCACTGGAGATGTGTTCTCTGGAGTGACCAATTATGCTTCTGGCGTTCTCTGTCTGGCAATCCGATGGACGTGTCTGGGCTTGGCGGTTGCCAGAAGAAAGGTACTTGCCTAACTGCACTGTACCAAATGTAAAGTTTGGTGGAGAGGGGATTATAGTGTGGGGTTGTTTTTCAGGGGTTGGCTTTGGCCTCTTAGTTTTAGTAAGGGGAACTCTTAAGGCATCAGTATATCAAGACATTTTGAAAAATTTCATGCTCCCAACTTTGTGGGAACAGTTTGTAGATGGCCTCTTCCTGTTCCAGCATGACTGCGCACCATTGCAAAAAGCAAGGTCCATAAAGACATGGAAGAGCGAGTTCGGGGTGGAAGAATTTGACTGGCCTGCACAGAGTCCTGACCTCAACCCAACAGAACACCTTTGGGATGAATTAGAGCAGATACTGCGAGCCAGGCTTTCTCGTCCGACATCAGTGCCTGAACTCACAAATGTGCTTCTGGAGGAATGGTCAAACATTCCAATAGACACCCTCCTAAACCTTGTGGACAGCCTTCCCAGAAGAGTTGAAGCTGTTATAGCTGCAAAGGGTGGGCCAGCTCAATATTGAACCCTACGGACTAAGACTGGGATGCTATTAAAGTTTATGTGCGTGTAAAGGCAGGCATCCCAATACTTTTGGCAATATAGTGTGTATGTATGTATATATATATATATATATATATACTGTATATATAAAATAATATTTTTTTTTTTTTGTTCTTAGGAAACTTCACTAAAATTTTTTACTATGTCTTATCTCATCCAAATGAGTTTTTGTTAATATTGGAAACAAAAGTAAGAACATCAATGCTCGTAAAAGCATGTACCTATCTTGTACATAACCAGGCAAAGGAATAGACACGACAAAGTCTCTATGGCACGGGTGTTAAACTGGCAGCCCTCCAGCTTTTGCCAAACTAAAAGTCCCATGAGGCATTGCAAGATTGACAGTTACAAGCATGACTCCCAAAGGCAGAGGTACGATGGGATGTAGTTTCGCAACAGCTGGAGGGCCGCCAGTTTGACACCCCTGCTCTATAGTATAGCTTACACAGAAAAGACAATTGGCAAGTTATCATGTTTTTGCTCATCTTATATACTTTTATATTTGTAACATATATTTTAGTATCCTTTCATCATGGTCATAAATAGCCATCAATAGGCTATACATGTTTTTATGGACAATGCAAAAATAGTAAATTCTTTCCCAAGGTAAAAGTGCAGAACTGCTTCTTTTGTTCAATACATTTTTAATTATAGTTAGACTGAAAAAAAGACAAACTCGTCAAGTTCAGCCTGAAAAAAATCATGGAGGATTCCCGTGAGCACTATAGCACACACTTTTATTGTACTTATTATTTCCAATTATGTACTATCTTCTCCTAAGTCCAAATGATATTTGCCTCTCTCCTTTTAATTTGAATATTTTAACAATTATATGTCAGTTTCAATAGAAAAGAACACCCTACATGATGCTGGAAAAATTTAGGACTAAGCAGCTAGGTGTCTGGAAAGTAAACCTAAAATTGGATTCTTGGAATTTTGCTGTACGTATTTTACAGTTTCCCATTTCAACTCCATCAAGAGCTAATTATTCTCATTGTGCACAGCTAACTTCAGCTAATCAGGAGAATATGCCTGGAAACTAGCAGGGGGGAGATGGAACAACATAAATATATAATGAAACTGAACGTAATACAATGTTACACATTTTTAGCCAAGAGGAATAATATAACCCAATAATAAAATACAGCATACTAAATAGTTGAGAAACCCGAGCTCTGTAACTCAAATGAAATACCATTTTAAAGTTTACTTTGCTTTTTTAAATGATCACATTTATGTCCAGAGAGACAATAACAAAATGTAATTACAGATAGGCTTACAATCTAATATCCAAACCACAGATATTGAAATACACACATAGTCTCAGGACCCATTGCAGTAGCTTTCTATTAATTACTGTTTTGGGTTATGCAAGAAACCCAAATATCCAAAACAAAACAACACCAATTCTGTATGGGAAACACATATATTCCATACAGGTAATGTTCCTTTTTTGAATTGGGACTAAGATTGGGATAAGATAAGTATAGCAAAGCAAATGGTGCCTTCTGCTTAGCCACCATCCTACTTGATAAAAAAAATGACTGTGTCAGGAAAGGCCTGCCCGTAGTACAGGTGAAGCTCTGAGGCGCATGAATATGCGCATGCGCAGGGTTCTGGCAAGCCGAGCAGATGTGCGGGAGCCTGGACAGGCGCACTCGCACACGCGGGTGCACGCCTGTCACTATTGCTGGCGCCAGGAGGGCTATTTAAGCTGGCTGCTGTGGTTATCTCATTGCCGTATGGTCTTTTCCCCTGATCATGTTACTGACTTCTGTGATTGTTCCCTGTTGCCAAAACCAACCTGTTTCCTGACTTCTTATTGATCGCCTCCTGCCCTGACTTCTGGACTGTCCTTGGATTACTCTTCTGCCTGCTCCTGCTTGATTGACCTCCTGTTATTGAACCTGGCCTGTGACCCGACTATTCTCCTGCCTGCTGTTTAAGCCTGATCTGTCTCGTCTAATACCGAACCCGGCTCGTCTGACTCTGCTTCTCACTACACGGTGCTCCCGCATCCATCCATCCTGCACGGATACATCTGCACCCTCCTGCTCTGGTCTGCTACTCATCAGTCCAACAGCTATCACCGGACAGATCCCAGGCCCTCTTACCCCGCCGAGCTCCCGCGACCGCTGTCCCACTCTCAGCAGTCCTTGAACCGGAGTTGTACGAGAGGTCTGCCTCTTCATGTCAGGCTCACTACCCAGGTATGTGACAGACTGGCTCTCGATACCAAGCTAAAGGCAAAATAGTCTGTTCACTTAGCAAAGTGAATTTTCACTTTGCAAGGGCATTTTCCCTTTGCAAGGGAATTTTCACTTAGCTTAAAGTGGAATTTCGGACTATACTTAAGAGCGAGCACTTGACAATGGCTGGTAATGCCTGGACCACAGTGGCCTGAAAATAGTCAAGTATATACATATATTATACGCTCTAACAAGCAGGGCCCTCTGATTCTTCCTGTATTGAATTGTATTGTAACTGTGCTGTCTGCTCTCATATTGTAAAGTGTTGCACAAACCCTGTATAATAATAATAACAATAATCTTTCTTACACAGATTAGTCAGCATAGGTGTTAGGAGGGGGGCAGCATTTTTAAGATTTTTTTTAGTTATAGGCTGGAATTCCACGTTAATGAATGAGGTGAAGATCTGCTGATTTCCATCATCCACTCATGTACAAGCAAATATACTGTTTTATTTTTTATACTTGTGATTGGATATTCTCTGCAAAAGTAGTTTTCATAACATTCACTAAGCTAAGTAAAAATCTCTCTGCAAAGTAAAAATTCATCTTGAGAAGTGACCTTGCTCTACTTCCTTAGTAAATCAACCCCACTATCTTTACAGACTGATTTTTTGCAAGCCTATTAGACAGGAATAATTTTCCCACATATGGGACACTTGACGATGACTCTGGAAGAAAACGCTAAGTGATCATGATTATGCACTTGACATCAATAATTACTATAACTTATTATTTTTAGCACACATTCTTTATCGTCATAGCCATTTAAAACTGGGCTAAGAGGGACATCAAGTAGCTATGTACCAAATCATATAACGAACTACACACTGTATGCTATTTTTGGACTATCGTGAACTAAAATGTAAATCTACTTTAATATTTTGGATAATCTAGCAATGTCAGAACATAACAAAATGTCATAATGTAAAGTATGGTAACTATGTGCTCAGAAAATGTATGACTATAGTGAATATAGACTCCATACCTTCAAGGGGAGAACTTCCTTGTTAATTCCAAAGAAATATGCCATGGCTTGTGTCCAGGAACAGAGGCCTGCTACATTGCCACACACTTTTTTGGCTGATTCAAGGTGGTAGTCTTCCATGTCCAGGTAAGGCTGCAGTAGCTCAACCACTTCCTCTGTGATGTAGTCCTAAATATAAGAGGTACAGAATTAGATTGCAGTTAGCATACAGATAACTAAGAAAACAGACCAAGTCAATACTGTTTACTTCACAAGATATATATGAATAAGGACAAGAGTAGAGGAAAGATTTAAAATAGGGACCATGAATTGTGAGCAAGATCTACAAAGGAACATTTATTTAAAAAAAAAAAAAAAGAAATTAAATAATAGCAATGTTTTTGTCACATTTGCAGAATACTTACATATAGGTATGAAGCAGCATCATTAGATTGCAATACAGGTAGAGACTTATTTAACTGATCAACAAACACAGGTATGACATACCATGGATATTATCATCAACTCACAATCAACCTCTCCACCCAGCCTCCCGCCTTCCTTCAACCCCTCAACCCTCCCCTCCCCCGACCTCATAGCCGCACTACCCCCCACTATACCTAATGCCCCGCACACCATCACCTCCCCTCACTTCGCTCCTTCAACCCAACTACCCCTGAGGAGGTCTCTAAGGTCTTCACTGAAGCCCGCCTCACCACCTGCCCCCTGGACCCTATCCCCTCACAGCTCCTCCAGTCACCCCCCCCCTCCATCATTCGCTCCCTCACCCACATCTTCAATCTCTCCCTCTCCACCGGCACCTTCCCCTCCCCTCTAAAGCACGCACACATCACCCCCATACTCAAAAAACCCTCCCTTGACCCCACTAACCTTAACAACCTTAGACCCATCTCCCTGCTGCCTTTCACTTCCAAGCTCCTTGGGCGCCTGGCCTACAATCGCCTAAGCGCCCACCTCACTGATAACAACCTCCTTGACCCCCTACAGTCTGGCTTCCGTCCCCTGCACTCCACCGAAACCACCGACTTAAAATCACCAACGACCTGCTAACCGCCAAAGCCAATGGCCACTATTCTATCCTCCTGCTCCTTGACCTCTCCGCGGCCTTCGACACTGTTGACCACCCTCTCCTCCTTGCCAAACTGCACTCCCTTGGCATCAGGGACGCTGCTCTCTCCTGGTTCTCCTCCTACCTTTCCCAATGCTCCTTCAGCATCACCTACAACACTGCCACCTCCCCCTCCCTCCCCCTCTCTGTCGGGGTCCCCCAAGGCTCTGTCCTCGGGCCCCTCCTCTTCTCCATCTATACCTCCTCCCTTGGCAAACTTATTCACTCCCACGGCTTCAATTACCACCTCTATGCCGACACCCATAATTTACCCCTCCACCCCCCACCTCACCCCCTCACTCTCCGCCCGCATCGCCCACCTCCTAAATGACATATCAGACTGGATGTCGCTCCATTTCCTCAAACTTAACCTATCCAAAACCGAGCTCCTGGTCTTCCCCCCACCCCGCACCCCCCCCCCCCCCCATCCTCTCCATCACTACTAGCAATGCCACCATCTCTCCCACCCCACACACCAAAGTCCTGGGTGTCACCCTGGACTCAAGCCTCTCCGTCCTACCCCACATCCAACTGCTATCTAGATCTTGCAGGCCCCACCTCCACAACATCTCCAAGATACGCACATTCCTTACCCCAGACAACACCAAACAACTTGTACACTCCCTCATCATCTCACGCCTGGACTATTGCAATTCCCTCTCACTGGCCTACCCAAACGAACACTATCCCCACTCCAGGCGATCCTGAACTCAGTGGCTAGACTCATCCACCTCACCAGCCGCTCCACATCTGCCTCCCCCCTCTGCCAATCTCTTCACTGGCTCCCGATTGCCCAACGCATCAAATTCAAACTGCTAACTCTGACCTACAAAGTCATCCACAACGCCGCCCCAAACTACATAACCGACCTGATACCCAAATACTACCCTACCCGTGCCCTCCGCTCCTCACAGGACCTCCTACTCTCTAGCTCCCTGGTCTCTTCCTCCCACACCCGATTGCAGGACTTTTCTAGGACTTCCCCCATCCTCTGGAACTCTCTACCCCAATCCATCAGACTGTCACCTACCCTCCTCACCTTCAGGCGCACCCTGAAAACCCAGCTCTTCAGGGAAGCCTACCCCAACCTCACCTAACACCTGACCTCACCTAACAACTAACCTCCTCCACTCCTCCCACCACTCCATCCCCCACAGCCATTTCCTCCTGTACCATTTTCCCCTCCCTCCTAGATTGTAAGCTCGAAAGAGCAGGGCCCTCGAACTCTTCGTGTGTTGTTTTGTTACTGTATTGTCTCATGTACTGTCCCCCACTATAATGTACAGCGCTGAGCATACCCTTTGGCGCTATATAAATACTGTATAATAATAATAATAATCATGTCTTTGGACAAGGCTTGGTCATATGCTGCAGAGATGTGAAGATCTAGCTATACAATCCATATAAGCCTAGGTTCACACTAGTGCTGCTTCATAGTCATGCATTTTTGGTTTTTGTATCTTTTTCTGTGTGTTTTTGATGAGTCTTCATGTTTTCATGCTTTTTTTTGTAGAAGGAGGAGACTGAAATCTTTGGCTTTGTTCACACCTATGCAGGTGCGATGGACCATGCAGGTTTTCATGCAAATCCCATTTCACGTTTAGGGAAGCCCATTCATTTCAATGAGCTGCCCTATGCATGAAAATCCAGAGCATGACTTCATTTTTAAAATCATGTTGCACCAAAAGGGCATGGTACTTTGTTACCATGTGTTTTGGCACGCATACAAAACACAAACTTTAGCAAGGTGCATTGGGGTGCAATTAACAATTAATGGCCCCTCGCATCTGCAAAAAGAATGTGCTTTTTTTTTGTGCATTGCGCAACACGCAAATGTGATTCTATCCTAAAACACAAAACTCTGCTAAAAATGCACCAATAGTGAATGCACTTGCTCCCATTGAAATCTATGGGGCCAAAATTGCGCCAAAAGCAGTACCTGCACTGTTTCAAAGTTAGCACTGTGCCATGTCACATTGAAGTGAATGGCCACCATAGAAAATAATGTGATTTCCATTGTCAGGCATTACAATGCAATAGCAGACACAGGAGAAATCGCACTGGGGCAATTTACATAATGGGGCATAAGCCCCAAAAACTAACAATAAAACCTTAGTGTAAAAAAGATAAATAAATAAATCTGTGCTAAAAAATCCCCAAACATAAGTGCGTAGATAAAAAGTAAAAATAAATGTCCAAATAAAACTTTCAAAGAAGTACAACTCTCTCCTAGTCTACTTTCACACTGATCTGTGTCAAAAACCCTTTTTTTACTGCATTTGCGGTGCATTTTATGCAGGACATGTGATTCAAAAAATACCTGCTTTGCATTTTTGGTGCATTTTTGCCATGTTTTCCATTGATTTCAATGGGGAGGTGCATTTTTTTTACCACACCAAAAATACAGCAAGCAGGATTTTAAAAAGCACAGGACCTGCAACGGATCAAGTGTGAACAGTTCTAAAGAAATACATGGTCACACATTTTTCTTCCGCTTTTTTTAAACGCAAATCAGTGTGAAAGCAGCCTTAATGTAGTAATTCAATTAAAAAATCCTGTTAAATAATAACAACAGAGTAGACAATTCATAAAGTGTCCACAAAGTGTCCAACATACAAAGTGAATAAACATTAGGTGAGAAAAAAACCCATCTAAAACTCCCAGAGGAGTTGCAGAAAGTTCAAATTTCAAAGTTCAAATCTTGTGCAGCAATAGCAAAAGGCAATTTAGATGAATTTCATAAAGTGCTTATGTCAAATTGGTGCTCCACACCAGACAAGAGGTTTTTAACGCCTTCACCACAGAACATGTAGACAGGGAGTCACCAATCCAAATTGACCTCTTAAACTAACAATAAGGCACCACCTGCCTGGAGTTTGCATGTTCTCTCTGTGCCTGCATGGGCCTCCCCCGGGTACCCCAGCTCTGTGAGCCTCCCTCCACACTTCAAAGACATGCTAGTAGGTTAACTGGATCCCTAGTATGTGTATGTATGAATGTAAGTTAGGGACCTTAGATTGTACGCCCCTTGAGAGTTAGGGACTGATATGAATGTACAATATATATGTAAAGCGATGCATAAATTTACGGCGCCATAGAAGTACCTGAAATAATAATACCTTACTGCTGAGATAGGATTTATGATGTGTGAGTGATTTTAATGGTGTTTGATTTGTGCTACTATGGTCTTCTTGATCCTTTTTTATCTATCTGATTGTTATCCTCCAACCCTTGGAGTAGCGATTCCTATACTGACAGCACTATATCTCCAAGTTTCATATAAAAGCCTGTTAAGGTGTTCTTATTAGTTTAAAGGATAAGTTCACTTTTCGTAACATGTTACACCCATATTCAGGGTGTAACATGTAACATATTACGATCGGATTGGACTGGCCCGCAGCCCCCCGCTCCCCCATTGTGACAGCTAGCAGGGGATCTTCGCCTCCTAGCTAGCTGTCACAACTGAAATAAAACATAGCCATGCAGGGCTTCACCAGCCTGGCCACGTCATTCATTCACGGCATTCTGTGAATGGGAAAAATACAAGTTCCTAGAGCCTTTGTGGCTTTTGGCTTGTAGTTTTCAATTAACTACCATGGTGCTCCACAGCGTTGTGGTTGTTTACTGAGCCTTCCTGTCAGTAAGTATCTGCTTGCCTGTACGGGATGTACAAGCAAGCAGATATACTGACAGGTCAGGGGGAGACCTGCATTGCTTTAGAACAGCAATGGGCAAACGGCCCGGCGGACCTTTTAATCTGGCCCGCGGAGCGTGATAAAAAAAAAAAAAACAGCCAGGGCAGGCAAACATTGGCTGTCAGGATGTGTGTAGGCGGGGCAGCGTGACGAGTGTGAGGGGAGCTAGGCTGCTCTCACAGTCCGCCCTGAAGACCGGAACGGCGCGGGAACACGGCGAGAGGAGCGCGCGGAGCAAAGGTAAGTAAATTGACACAGGGGGGACTTGGCTTACTACTTGGGGGAGAATAGTACTATGGGGGATGAAATACTATATGAGGGATGAATTAATATGGGGGATGAATTAATATGGGGAATGAATTACT